AAATACATCCATTGGATTAATCGAACTTAGGATTGGAGAACATCAAGGAGAATGGGGTGGGTCAAAATAAATCTTGAGCCTTATATCATTTGTTTCTTAAACTTTGAACCAAGTCCACGTTACAATCCTCAAAAGTCCTAATTGAAGCAAGGTCAACTATGAAAGTATACTCGGCAAAATTTGTGTTAGACTGACTCCTATGTTTGTTAAAATTATTGCTAACCACTTCGCTTCTTCGAATCTTCATCGCTAAATCATCCATTTCTTCTATGTGAAAACTTCGATTTCAAAACTTGCATGTACATCACTAAGAACTACTTTTCAAAATTTATACTTTTATATACAAATCAATACTTAGCATCAAGGAGATCTCAAATTTGGTTTAATCAAAAGTGATCCTTTCCAAAAAGCTCCTAACTAGGGGCAAAGCCTCTAAAGAAGAACCCTATAATCATAAGCAATACTAATGATCGTAGAGGTATATCACATGAAGATCATATTGACTAGGGGAGATCATTTTAAGAATCAATCAACTTGGGTCATATTGCAAAGCACCTGTCAATCAGGGGCATACCTTTCGAAAGGGCATTCTTTAATCAAGTCCATATCACGACATAGTGTTATCCAAGTTCATTCTAAGACCATTGCTCCAAGGGCCCTACCAGTAAATTAGGGCAAGACATTCCACAAAAGGGAAAGCTCTTTGCATACTTTCATAATCCCTAGTGGATCCTTCTCCTACGTCAGCAATTTGTGAGTTCAAAGCGAGTATTGGGGAATCATGTCGGCATAACACTCTACCATCATGTGACAAGAATCCTTGTTACACAAGCAACCTCTCTGCGTCTTAACCATCCACGACCTACCACAAGGGCATCAGTCAAAAGCATACGAGTCTACATAAATCATCCATTAGGTTACTTCGATCTAGAATTGGACTATACCTATCATCTCATTCGTCTGACGAATTATGAAAGCATGGATCAGGCATATAACAAGCTCAGTCATTCATTAGCATTTCAAAATTTCAACATCCATCGATACATATACAAGTCATGCATTATATGCATTGGTCAATCATTATATACTATGCATTAACACTTGCATCTACATGCATACATGACATATCATAGACAATGACTTAGGACCCCCGTAAAAATCCAGAGTCAATTTTCAGGGGAGTCACTATTCTCAATCCATATATAATCTCCAGCTAATTCAGTAACATCTCTGACTATTCCTCCGGGTGAGTTTGTCGTACGAGCACTCTTCATCAAAATCGTAAGCAACCTTACACAATTTCCAGCCTTTTAAGACGTTAGCATCCTCACGCAATCTCCATCCACCGTCCAAGACATGAGCATCCTCATGTGTTTTTATCAGCCTGAGTTGTGAGTAGCCTCACGCACTTCAATCAAAATAAGACGTGAGCAACCTCGCGCAATTTTTTCATCAGCCATTTAAGACGTGAGCAGCCTCACGCGTTTTCCGTTAGCATAAAGACGTGAGCAACCTCACGCATTTCTTTATCCGTGTTTCATGAGAGACGTGAGCAGTCTCACGCAACCTCACCCATTATCCATTCGTAGGCATCCCTACGAAGCATGAGAAACCTCATGCATTCATCAGCCATCCATACGTAAGCAGCCTTACGTAAAAGTCGTGAGCAACCTCACACTTTCCAATCACTTGATCGACCTCTCCCGGTAACCTTACCGATGTTAGTGACCTTATTGTTCGTTTCACCTTTCTAATTTGATACTATTCCAGTAACCCTACTGATGTTTGTATCCCAGTTCCTATCTGGCGCAGCATTTCAAAAGCCCAGTTCCTCTCTGGCGCATAATTTTAAAAGTCTAGTTCCTATCTGGCATGTCTTTTCAAAAACCCAGTTCTTGTCTGGCGCATCATTTCAAAAGTCCAGTTCCCGTCTGGTAGTCAGTTCTTGTATGACAGTTCAATTAAATCCAGTTCCCGTCTGGTAGTTAGTTCTCGTCTGGAACATTTCACCAGTTCCTATCTAGTAATCAGTTCTCATCTGACACCTTATCTTTAACCCTAATTTTCGTCTGGTAGTCTATCTTGATACCTGAAGTTCAAATAACATGGGCATTGCATTTATCAATAATTGCATCATTTCAATTCATAACATTATCATATCAAGCATACAAATCATGTATCATGCATACATCAAGCATAATCATATCAAACATGCATACATGCATTACATTCAATTATATATGCCTATGAAAACTACGGAAAATCTCAAGGCATGCTTACCAGCTAAGACGCACTCAATTTCCAATCCATGCTTTATACTATCACTATAACCACCTCGGTTGAGAACAGACACAACCTCCAAAGGTACCTCTATTAAAATTTTACAGGGAAACTTACCTATGATTTATATCCAAAGCCTAGTTATCACCAGCCTCTGGGCGTTATACTTTCAATTATCAAATTCAAACTTTTCAAATTCAAACTTTTCAAACATTCAACTTCATTTGGTTATCATATTATAAAGTCTTGGTTGAAAACAGACACGACCGACATCATCATCGAAACTTCGGTGTCAATCTTCAAACCTAGCATTGTTAATGCTAATCAAGTCTTGATTGAGAATAGACACAACCGACATCGTTATTTTGAGTTCCAAATATCCAATTTCTAACTCTGCATTATTTATCCTCTAGGTTGTGATAAATATGCAAACTCTACGATATAACTTGTTGCATTAGTCTCAGAGTAGCAATAAGTTATCTATTTTTAAAAACCCGCGTCGTTTATCCCCTAGATTGTGATAAATGTTGCAAAACTACGATACAACTTACTATGTTAGTCCCGAAGCTTTAGTAATTTATTTTTCAAAACTTGTATTATCTATTCCCTAGGTTGTGGTAGATGTACAAAATATGCGATATAATTCATTGTGTTAGTCTCGAAGTGACAATGAATTATCAAACTTGTGCTATTTATCCCCTAGGTTGTGATAAATATGCAAAATTTTGATATAACTTGTTGCATTAGTCTCGAAGCAGCAATAAGTTATCTATTTTCAAACTCGTATTATCTACCCCCTAGGTTGTGGTTGATGTGCGAAAATTTGCGATATATTTCATTGTGTTAGTCTCGAAACGAAAATGAGTTATCAAACTTGTGTTATTTATCCCCTAGATTGTGGTAAATATGTGAAATTTGAAATATAACTTGTTGTATTAGTCTCGAAGTAGCAATAAGTTGTTTATTTTCAAACTTTACATTATTTATCCTCTAGGTTGTGGTAAAAAAAATTTGTGGTATAACTTACTAGGTTAGTCTCGAAGCTTTAGTAGGTTGTTTTTTTCAAAACTTGTGTTATCTATTCCCTAGGTTGTGGTAGATGTACGAAATCTGCAATATAAGTCATTGTGTTAGTTTCAAAGCGACAATGAATTATCAAACTTGTGTTACTTATCCCCTAGGTTGTGATAAATGGGAAAAAGTTGTGTTGTAGCTTGCTATGTTAGTCTCGAAATGTTAGTAAGTTAACTATCAAATTTGTGTTATTTACCCCCTATGATGTGGTAAATATGCAATAATCACGATATAACTTGTTGCATTAGTCTTCAAGCAGCAATGGGTTATTTATTTTCAAGCTCGCGTTATTTACCTCCTAGGTTGTGGTAAATATACGAAATTTGTGATTATTTTTTCTAGGTGTTGACGAGTTATCTGCCTCGTCATATCTAGGTCATTTATGTTCAGGCTCTAGGCATTGGTGAGTTAACTACATCATCCCTGCATGTTTACTTTTTGGTTTATCGTACAATTTATCATTTTCAAATCTTTTGGTCGAAATTTGGGGTCTTTCATTATTTAATTACCCTTCGATATGAACGTGCGAGAACTGCGTCCTCTCCCACGCTTCAATCGAAGAGTAATTAAATAGGAGCAATTGTCATACCCCAAATTTGCACGTCTTAGTGCTACAGTCGAAATTATTTTCAAACTTAGATTTTATAAAATTCTTTTGGTTTATTTACATTAATATTTTGGGATTTTATAAAATATTTGTTTGCTTGTTTAAAAATATACATAATATTTTATTTTAAATTACTTGTGTTTCTTAAATAGCAAATACTTGCTCGTCTTTCATATGCTTTCAATTGGATTTTTATTTAGAATAAGTGATGTATCACAATTCGTAAGAGAGTAAGCTTACAAACATAAGATCATGAATTTGAATCTCATTTGGTGTACTTTAGATATTTTTTCTATTTATTTGTTACTAATTTTATTTCTATTTTTAATTATTTTCAAAATCACAAAAATCATATTTTTTTATTATTTAATTACTATTCTCGTTTTCTTTTATTTATTAGATTTTAAAAATATTATTTTTTATTAAAATTATTATTTTATTTAAAAAAATAGTCAACAATCTTAAAAATGAATAAAATCTTTTTAAGTCAAATCTTTTTCCAAACCATATCTTGTAGATGGACACAAATATGATCATATTCTTAATTTTGTTGACCAAAATAAAATCTTTGAATTTTTTATTGTTTGAATGATTTCTCTATTTGACAATTTCACATAATTTCTCACATTATAAATAGGTCTCTTTTCCTTCATAAAAATTCATCCACAATTTTACAATTGCTCACACACAATTGTCAACAATCATCAACAATTTCACATATACACAATTCTCACAATTCACATGCTTCACTTTTCAAATTTTCTTTTAATATTATTAGTGTTACTTTATTTTAATTTTTGTCCAACGATTAAATATGAGATTACTTTTTCAATTTTAATTTTTTATTTCTTTTTATTCTAATTTGTTTAGAATATAACCACATGATGATAATATTTTTTAAAAATCAACAATTCACTTATTCACTACAGTCTCCACTCATTCACGCACATAAAATACTTATTTTCTAAACACAATCTTTTTTTAGTTTTCGTTGTTTTATTTACTACATGCTAATTTTCTTTCATGTTGTTGCTTTACTATGAAACTAATGAAATCATTCACAAATTCACCACTTTTTCAAAACAAACCTTCACAATATTATACACTTTATACAAAAAGAAACTCTCTTATTAAACACCGAACATTCCAACCACACAAATTCTCTTCCAAAATTTCCAAACTTCGTTACAAACATAAACTCATCATTCCAACAATTTCAAAAATCACCACCTGTAACATTTCAAACCACAAACCTCACAGTAGCATCATATTATAAAAATCAAAACCAAGTTTCATCAGTTATCAATTCTAATTCCAAACAATTAATAACAATTTTTTTCATCACTTCAACTTGCAATGTTTTCCTTTCTTTTCAGATTAAAACAAATAAAACAGGAGAAAAGGAGACATCGCTACTACCGAAGCAGATACAAAGCTCCGAGACCACACCCGACGAACCGTCAGAAACCCACTGCACAACCGCCCTTTGCTCGCTGCTCACTGCGATCGCACCGACCATCGCAATTCCAGATCTGATTTGACCAGGCCCTTTGCGACCGCGCCACCACCCTTCGACCACGCGCCATCACCGTCAAGCTCCATCACTTATGCGCAGATTCGACGCCTCCGATTCTGCCGTAAGACACTCTTCACCGTTCAACTCACATCCGACCAACCACCTCAGTCGCGGCCTATCCCCTTAGCGCCCTCGATCCGATGAGCTTCTAGATCTGATCCATAATTATCACCGCCGGTAAGCACGCTCTCCTCTGATTTTGTTACATTGATTTGTGGTTTTTTTTTGGTATGTTAGATTTGGTTTTGAATTGGTAAAGGGAGATTTCGCTTATTGAAGAGAAAATTGAGACATGTTCTTTGTTTTTCAAAATAATAGTTGTTGTTGTTGTTAAAGTGAGAAGAAAAGTTGGTACTAAGTTGTATTCACGTGGAGAGAGAGGTATACGATGCTTCTTCTTTTTTATTACTTTTATTTTTGTTGAAAATCCACTAAAATTTAGGATGAATTTCTACTATAATGATAATTTAATTATGAAACAAACAAAGAAAAGAAAATAAGACAAATGATTTTTGCAGAGTTTCTTTCTGCTCACAAACTACAAACTGTGAAAACTTTGTTATTCACTTGCAACTACAAAATACTGTGAATACAACTTGTTTGACTTGCTTACAAAAATAGGGGTTACTCCCTCTATTTATAATTGAGCTTACACCTTAAGTCCAAAGCCCAAAATATCTTTTTGTTACTAAATCAAATCTAATTTATTCTAAACTTAAATCAAATCTATTTAAATCTAAAACAAATCAAATCTTTTTGACACATAGTTTCGACACACTGGATTACAATTTAACACATCATCTAATTCATTGTGTCTAAATTATTTATGTTCATCATGACTCTTAGTCTTCTAAATACTTTGACTTACACTCCATTTGTCATGATGTTTGCAATCTGATTATCAATTCTGCAGTGTTCCAAATTCATCTTTCTATCTGCTACCTGCTCTCGAAGATAATAGAATCTCATTTCGATGTGCTTACTTCGACCATGTGCTATTGGGTTCTTCGCCAGATTGATAGCTGACATTCTGTCGATCTTCATGGTAATTGCTCCATGATCTTTCCCTGTTATCTCTTCGACCAAGTTCACCATCCAAGTTGCTTGACATGCACAAAGAGAAGCAACTATGTATTCTTCTTCGCATGATGATAATGCCACTACTGGTTTCTTTCTTGAATTCCAAGCAGCTAGTGCACCACCTAGCATAATCACATATCCTGCTGTTGACTTTCGATCTTCAGCATCACTACACCAACTCGAATCGGTGTATCCCACTAACTTGCATTCTTTTCCTTTATCAGCTTTAGGAAACAAAATGACATAATCGAAAGTTCCTTTGAGATACTTTAGTATCCTCTTCACTACTGCTAGATGTGATATCTTTGGCTTTTGCATTAATCTACTTACCATGCCTACACTGTATGCTAAGTCAGGTCTTGTATGACAAATGTATCTCAATGATCCAATAAGTCTTCTGTATTGAGTTAGATCAACATCATCTTCATCTGCATCTTTTGACAGTTGCAGTCTTAGTTCTGCAGATGTCGAAATTGAGTTGCATTCTTCCATCTCAAACCTCTTGAGAATTTATCCTGCATATCTTCTTTGATGCATCATCAAACCTCTACCGTTCTTGTAGAATTCGATTCCAAGGAAATGTGAAATCTCACCCAAATCAGACATTTCGAATTCCTTGCTGAGATCACCTTTGAAGTCTTCGATCTCACTCTTGCAGCTATCTGTTATCAACAAATCATCTACATAGAGACATAGTATAAGAAATTTACTCTTGCTTCTTCTTACATATACTCCATGTTCAGTTGTGCACTTCACAAATTCCTTCTCCCCTAGGAAACTATCAATTTTCTTATTCCAAGCCCTTCGAGCTTGTTTCAATCCATACAGGGCTTTATGTAGCATGTACACCTTTCTTTCTTTGTCATGTTTCACAAACCCAACTGGTTGTTTAACATAGACTTCTTCATCTAAGGGTTCATTTAGGAATGCACACTTCACGTCCATCTGACATATGTGCCAACTGTTTATTTCTGTTAGACCAACAATCAACCTGATTGTTTCGATCCTAGTAACAGGTGCAGAAACTTCATCGAAGTCTATTCCTTCTTTCTGTAGAAATCCTTTTGCCATAAGCCTTGCTCTGTGTCGAGTTACTTCCCCTTTTGAATTCGTTTTCACTTTGTATACCCACTTGACATCAATTGCCTTCTTGCCTTGAGGCAATTCGACAAGTGACCAAGCGTTGTTGTCTTCGATACACTTCACTTATTTGTTCATTGCTTTCACCCACTTCAAATCCTTCAATGCTTCAGCTGCATTAACGGGTTTGACATCTGCATAAAAAGCATAATGTACCAGCTCACCTTCATTATCTATTACATCATCTGATGTAATCACACAATCTTGCAATCTTGCAGGCATGCATCTTTTTCTTTGAGGCCTGCTTGTACTTGGTATATCTGCTGGTTCCTCTTGTCGAACTTCTCTTTCGACTTGAGTTTTTGGCTCTTCAAGAAGGATTCCCACTGAATCTTTTTTGACATTATCAGTCCAATCCCATTCTTTAAACTCATCTATGATCACGTCCCTGCTGATCACAATCTGCTTTTTCACTGGATCGAACAACTTGTAGCCTCCTATCGAATGATATCCAACTAGAATAATTTGACTTGACTTGTCATCAAGTTTTCTTCTCAACTGATCTGGCACATGTCTATGTGCAATAGATCCAAATACCTTCAGATGACTCAAGCTAGGCTTCACATCAGACTAACATTCTTCTGGAGTAATTCCTTCTAGCTTCTTTGTAGGACATCTGTTCAAAATGTATGTTACAGTCGAAACAGCTTAACCCCAAAACTCTTTAGGTAAATTCTTGCCTTTCAACACACTTCTCACCATATTCATGATGATTCGATTCTTCCTTTCTGCAATTCCATTTTGTTGTGGAGTATAGGGTGACACCACCTCATGCACAATCCCTTCCTTTTCACGTAGTCCGTCGAAGTCTTTCGACACATATTCTCCACCACCATCAGTTCTCAAAACTTTGAGCTTTCGACCGATTTGTCTTTTGACCATAGACTTAAACTTGGAAAATACTTCGATCACTTCACTTTTCTTCTTGATCAGATAAGTCCACAGCTTTCGACTGAAATCATCTATGAATGTAACAAAGTATTTGTTACCTCCCATTGAATCCACCTGGATTGGTCCACATAGATCAGAGTATATGAATTCAAGAATAACCTTCGATCTGCTTCCTGCATCCTTGCTGAAGCTATTCTTGTGTTGCTTCGCCTGCACACATTCCTCACATACCTTGTTTGGAATGTCAATTTCAGGCAATCCCGAGACCATGTTTTTTCTCTTCAAATCTCTGATGTCTCTGAAGTTGAGATGGCCTAGTCTATAATGCCATATCCATTCATCTCTGCTAGCTGCAGTCGAAAGGCACTTGTGCTCTATCACATTTAGTTCAATCTTGAAGGTTCGATTCTGAGACATAGGAGCCTTCTGAAGAAGTGAAAAACACAAGAAGGGGGGGTTGAATTGTAAAACTGAAAATCAATGCAATGAACAAGATATTTTTATCCTGGTTCGTTTGATCTCAAACTACTCCAGTCCACCCGTCAAGGTGATTTCGCCTCTCTCCAACGAGGTCTTAATCCACTATATTCAACTGAATATTACAAACTGCTTTAACAACTGCTAAAGCCTTCTTGATGCAAACCACAACCCGGTTTGTCAAGGAAACACTTTCTTACAAAGAAGATAAATCTAGGTGTGTGAATGTTTTCTACAAAACTGTATCACAACTGTGATGTATACACAACTTAAGCTTATGAAACTAGATTGCTAAACAATGATTGAGTAAGGAGATATGTAGCGTTTAGCAAACTGAGAGAAGGAAGATTATGATTAGCTTTTAGGCGTGTAAAATGTTGGAGAGCATTAGCCAATTCAATCTTCATAGTCTTGTTTATATAACACTGAGATTGTTGAACGTTGGAGCAATATTCTTAATTCAATGCTAATAACAAACTTTCCTTATTGAACAGATCTTGTCTGGAATGAGGCCGTTGGTAATAATTTGCTTTCAATGCACAATACCGTTGCTTACTTAATGCATGTTCTGGCTTGGCTCATTCTGACTCTGCTTAACTGCTGATGAACTGTTGTTTTCTTTATCAGAGTGTTGAGCGCAGTTCTGTTCATCAAGCTTCAGCATACACGTGAGTTAATCTTCTGATTCTGGTATTCTGATAGCAACTTCTGATGCTGATGTCAAGAACCAATATTCTGATGTTGATTAAGTGTGCTCTTGCTGATACCTATCAGAGTTTCTGCAAAGCAGAACGTAATATTTTTAGGTAGCAAATAGTTCATACATGAATCATATAAATAATATATCTTTTCATTTTGTTATCATCAAAACTCAAACATAGGGTAGTAGATTCAAACTTTGTTTTAACAATCTCCCCCTTTTCGATGATGACAAAAACTAGATATTTTTTAATTGAAAATAACGTGAAAAAGTATCAGAGGTAACTAAATGATAAGATGTATCAGAGTAAGAGATTATCAAAGATAAGAGATAAGAGTTGAGAGATACTCCCCCTGAGTTTATTGCTTCCCTTTTTAATTCCAAGAGTTCTTCAGGATCAGATTTTTTATTG